TCTATACAATGGGTCTATCTAGCTCAGACAAACACGGGCCTGGTCAGATGGGACTGTGGGCTTGTGACCCTAACCATGGGAATAGGGGTGCAGTAGAACAGCTTCCATCCACACCACGGTCAAAGGAGCCAACTCTGGGTGCAGCAGCAGAATCCGCAGACAGGTAGTCCACGTGCCCATTGCCCTGCTGAGTACACTGAGGCAGAAAGGGAAGAGAGGCCCTCACCTGCCGGAACAGGAGGTCTAGCTGCACGGGGTGGCTGTAGCTGTCCTTCGGGTAAAACACCTGTGGGGGTGGGGCTTCAGTGAGGACCTCCAAAGGCCCCTCACTTCGCTTCACACCTGGATCCGCCCCCAGGTGCAGCCCCGCCCTGGAGCAGCGGCAGGTGCCTAGCTCAGCTCCACCCTGGCCTGCTTCTCCAATCTGGGTGTCCCCTCTGGCCCTAGTCAGCCCCTCCCCCGCCCCGGCACCTCTTTGCGCAGGAAGATCTGCCAGGGGGTGTCCTGGTAGCCATAGAAACTGGGGTTGGGGAGGCGGTGCAGCTGTGTCTGCACTGGATCCTCGGCGGGCTCCAGCGACCTCGAGGGCAGCGCTGGGGAGCACAGCAATCGCAGGCGTGAGGGGAGGCAGTAGAGTGGCAGCCCACACCCTTGGCCACAGACACACCTGATCTCACGCATGCAGAACGCTGCTACAGCCCAACCTGCACTCGGCACGTACTAGTAAACAGGCACCCAGTGTGTGCAGGCCTATGCCAGGGGCTGAGGGTGTCACAAGGCACCTGCCTTGACTTAGAGCAGTGATGGCGAACCTATGACACGCATGTCAGAGGTGACACGCGAACTCATTTTTTGGGTTGATTTTTCTTTGTGAAATGGCATTTAAATCTATAAAATAAATATCAAAAATATGTCTTTGTTTTACTATGGTTGCAAATATCAAAAAAATTTCTATATGTGACCCGGCACCAGAGTTAAGTAAGGGTTTTTCAAAATGCTGACACGCCGAGCTCAAAAGGTTCGCCATCACTGACTTAGAGTCTCCTGGCAGATGTGGGTGAAACAGACCATTTGAAATGACGAAACTCTTCGTGCTAGGAGCTATGAGGTGGAAATAAAACGGGTGATTTAGGGAAGGTCTGTGAGGGTCCTCGGCCCGGGTGGGCTGGCAGATCTCTCTCAGGAGGTGACATGGGAGACCTCGGTAAGAAGAAGGGGCAGGCAGGCAAAGATGTTGGGGGCAGAGCACTCAGGCAGGAGCGGCGGGGCAGGGAGTGAGGCGGGAGTGACTGGTGCCCCAGGAACACCGAGGGACAGAGGGCCAAGGGAGGTGGGGGCGGCAAGGCTGGGAGTGGGCAGATCTCAGGCCAGGGAGGAGCCGCTGGAGCAGGTGCCAGGAACTCGGGGTGAGTTGATTTCTCTCT